AGTTTCTAGCATTTTCACCAGTCTTATTTATTTCACTTAGAGTGAGAAATAGCTCTTGGAGCTACTTTTAACAGCAAAAGAATGAGCAGAATACGGGAAGTCCATTGGCATTGTCTGAGAAACAGCAACTCAGTTTTGGAAACAGCAGTCTGAAAAGAGAGTTGTGAATGATCTGAAAATGTGCAGGTTTCTCTAGAGGGAAATAGGTTTCCTATATAAGTGCTGCAAAATGTTTATCGAAGACAATGGTTGTTTCTGTAACTTAGGGGAATTGCTACTGCTACAGCGAAATGATGCAAGCTATGATGATAGCATAGGTGGTTGAAGATGAAGAGAACATTATTGGCCATTTGATTTGCTGTCTACTGGTTATTACTTCATATTCTAGAGCTGGGGTGAGTGAAATCAGTATCAGAAATCAATTGTGGAGAAATATATTGACTCTTTCCCACTTACCCCTCATTGCTGTCTGTGTCTGTGCTTACCTTACATTTCTTCCTATCCTTGAGGGGTTGTGCTAGAGCCTTTCCAGAGATTAGGGGTTGCCAGAATTCAGAAGAAACTACAGTTGGCTCATCCATCTATGCTTCTGTTTGCTGTCAGGCATCCTCACACACCTAAGTATCTGGTGATTTCCAAATCACTCTTTGGCCTTGTAATAATTCAAAAATCGTCTTGAATTTACTTTGGCATATAGCACTAAACTTACTACTGCATCTGTATCATCACACAGGAAACCACCATAACTGAGTCTTTATTGTGTTGTATCTTTTTCATTATTCTTTCTGCCCTTTTATTTCTTCCCTTACTTGGTCATTTTCTGTTCTGATTCTAAGCAGATTCAGTACGTTCCTACTTCAGTTGAAGCCATATATGCAGGCTTGTTATTCACTACCCAGAAGCCTGAAGTTGCAAAACCCGTATCATTTTTTTATTATTCTGATTTTTTTCTAATATAGGATGTTACATGTCATGACAAACTGGAAGGGAAGTTTGGGCTACTGTATTTTGAAATTTAATATTTGAAGGCAGTTTAAAGTACCTAAATAGTGGTGGCAAATCCCAAAACTAGAAGGACCTATTGCTGTAACTTACAGATAGTAGAGAACAGTTGAAGAGTTGTTGTGTAGTATTATAATGAAAACTGTGGTCCAGTAAAATTATCCTTGTGTAGGCTTTGAAGGCTTGAAAGCATTCTGACTGGTTTGTGGCTTGAGCTCTGGGTATAGATTTTACACCTACAATTGAAGATAAACAGTACACTTCTTATGGTGAATTTCTCCATGTAGTTATCAGTTTGCATCACTGTCATAACATGTGCACAATCTTCTACTTCCAAGTGTCTAGCTGTGCGTATTATTCCACAAGTATTGGTATATAACGCAAAATGGGGTGTCTTTGATCACAACATGATGCTTTTGAGTAGGCTGACGTTGCAATAAAAGTGTATGTGAGGCTATAATACATGATGGCATTATAATATGTCCTCCCAACATCATACATACTAAAGCAACCCACTATAGATCAGTTTTAAGTTTGATAAAACAGTTCATTTATTTAAGAGAACTTTTAATCTAGATCATAATTGTGTTCATAGATTAGTTACAGGAAAAAAAAAACAACTACACTGAAAAAATTTTTCAGAAATCTTTTTCTATGTCTGTTATGAAAAAATTGCCTGAGCTAACTATAGTTTAGAAAGCAATTATTCCATAATATAGACTAACCTTTCATATTTTGGTCTTTGGGAAAACATGTTTTTTAAAGTTATACTGTCAAACTTTGAAAAATGACCATAGGACATGACCAATTATTATATTTGTCATGGGTTCAGCAGTAGCAGTCATGTTTCTCCTTCTTGGTAGCTGGTGCAGTGCAGTGTTTTGATTTTTGGCCTGGGAACAGAGCTGATAACAATGATGTTTTGGTTTGGTGAAGGACTTTGTGAGCCTCATGCTTTGCCAGGGAGGAGGGGAAGCCGGGAGGAAGCAGAGACAGGACACCTGACCCAAACTGACCAAAGAGGTATTCCATACCACAGCACGTCATGCCCAGGATGTAACTGGGAGTTAGCCGGAAGGGCTGGGAGACGGCAGGGTTGGAGGAGGTATCGGTCAGAGCTTGGTCAGGCTGGGGGGCGAGTTATCGGTCGACTGGTGGTGAGATGTCGTATTCTCTTCCCTTGTTATTTCCTTTATCATTATTATTATTGGTGGTAGCAGTAGTGATCTGTGTTATACCTTAGTTACTAAACTGTTCTTATCTCAACCTGTGGGAGTTGCATTCTTTTTGATTCTCCTCTCTGTCCCTCTGGGAGCAGGGGGAGGGCAAGAAGGTGGGGGTGAGAGTGAACGAGTTGCCTGACTGGGTTTAAACCCCGACAGTATTGCATAAATATTTTGAAAGCATATTTTTGCTAGACATATTGTGTTCTAAATATCTATTTGCCTGAGGAAGTGTAACATTTTAAGTGGAATAATTTACAGCTTATCAGGTAAATAAAAGTGCTGTGCTAAAGATTTACTGAACAGACACTTACTGAAGATACATAATTCCTCTCTTAAAAATTACCTAAATGCATATTTATACAAGGGATTATAAGCACAGCTCTGGCATAGCCATTTGAGTTTATCAATTTAATACATGTTTTAGAAAGGTGTTTAAATGCAATAATGTTGAAAGAGGTCTGTTGGGAAATTATAAATGCCTTTAAAATTCCTGCAGGTGAATTCCTGTATGTGTTCAAACAATGTATTATAAAAGTTCTTCTAACCTATGGAATCCTATTTTATTATTCATCATGAGTATATATAATGATACTGGATCAAAACAGTTCTTACGAGTAACAGCCAAGATTTTTTTACATCAATCACATTGCTATTAGATCTGATTTCCCTTCTATTCAATGAATAGTATTCTGTTCTTTGTAAGAAGTACAGCACAGGATCTGGATAAACAGAGCTTTTTTCCTCCAACAGTGAAGCTTTTACTGTAACATAGTCTATTGACTTGCTGCCAATCATTAAGTTTCATACATTTTTTTCGTAACTCTCAAAGGAAATCTAATTTTGTATCTCCTTACTGGGATTTCAATGCCATATTCTTCAAAAAAAAAGAAACCCACCAAAACTCAATACATCAGGAAAAAGTGTATGTAAGTGTATATAATATAAGAGTGTATATAATAAGTGTATATAATGTGAGTGTAATTGTAGCATGTGATTTTTACTTGTTATATGCTGATAAATTGAGATATTATAAGCAGTACAAACCAATATGTTTAAATTTGTCTTCAGTATTTGTTACCTAGGCTGAAACCTTTTTATAGCTTATATCTTACTGATTTCATTTTCTTACACGCAGAAGTGTTTTTAGAACATAACAAGTTGTTTGCATATTTCAATACTGTAATTTTTTTTATGAATGACTTATTTTAGAGAGAATTTTGGCTGTGTGATCAGCTGATTAAAGTGTACAAATAACACTATTAATCTAGGTAATTGGTGAATGCCCTCATTCAGATCTCATTTCAGATGTGCTGATACAAACGCAGTAAATATCATTTGTGCTTTGGCATTGTAGTGGTTCCTATTTTGCATAGTGTTGAGCCAGAAGGACTGAAAAGCAAATCTTCAGATCATACTTGCAAGTTCTGTTGGTTAGCTCATCCTCATCACCACCATGATTTGGAAAAGCTCAAGGCACTACTTTGTGTTAACTATCTACTTGAAATAGTCATCTAAATTTGCTGCTCTATGGGTTCTTAATGAAGGTCTAACATAAACTACCTGTTTACAGTAGCTGTAATATGGCTTACAGTGAATGGGAAAAATCAAAAGAGTCCATATCAAAGGGAACTGTTGAAGTATGTGTTAGAGACCATTGATTTTTCTCTAGCAATAGTAACAGACAAAAGGGGAATATTTCATGAATGTGTATTTATACATACCATTGAGTCTGGATTTGTTGAAATACGAATATACACACACCCTTCTGCATCTTTCTTCATATCTGTGAATATGTATATTGGAATCTGTCCCTCTGCGTATATGCATTTCTGCCTCTGTGATTGTGTGGTCTTCCTAAAATGCTGAAGAGTATTTAAAACCTAAAATATACTGTCACAGTCTTTCAGTAATTTAACTTTTGTCTTTTTCATAATTATGCTTTGCATGTGAAGTTTTCATATGTTTCATGACTTGGTGAAATAAGTGATTGCTACTTCCACAGCATTGGGTATAATACCTTGTTAAAGGACAGAAAAGCAATATGGCATTGTGTTTTCCTGTTTGTTTATTATTATGGATATTTAAGAGAATACAGAGTGTCTTTATTTAGCATTTTCAAAAAATTCTAATGCTGTTATGCTGATAATATCAATAATCATTCAAAGTAGGATGCAAAATGTTTTGGTGCTGGAGTTTCTTTAATGTTGAATTTTAACTGGTCTAAATTTTAGAGGTGTTTGAGTGTCAAGACCTACTGCAATATGAATCATATTCTCCATCAAGATACATTCAGTGTATATTCTCTGGTCATCTTAGGCTGACATTTGAAAAGTATTAAGGGTTTGGTTTCAGTTGATGATAAAAGATACTTAAAAGCAAATTAATACCTTCCAAGGTTAGCATGGCACATGTTTCCTACTAACAGTGACAGGCAGACTGTAGAATAAGTTTCTTTACTTGATTAAAAAGCCTCAAGCCCTAGAAATTACAATGAAGAGGAGTAGAAGTTTTCTTTAAGTATTTGTAGCTCTTCAAATAAAGTAGGCTAGGGTTTCCTAACACTTACTAGTGCAGAGTACTCTAGCTAATGTCTTTTGTTCCTGTTTATTAAGGCTGAATATATACAGATATATTAAGTACTATGTATTAAGTGAAACAAGAAGCAGACACTTGCAAATACTTCATACCTTTATGAAAGGCATTTAACAGTAAATGTACATTCTTGTTGTTGTTTGAGGGTTTTTATTATAATTGTTACTTCTTTTTCTCCAGGAATCAAGAGGGAGTTCAAACATCACCATGGCTTCAAGCTAGGAATTCAGCCTGACCAGAGCTGTATCCCAGATATTTTGGCATTGCAAGCTGAACCTGACACATGCTACAGTTTTATGCACAACAGAGCCAGTTTTCAGTCTTCAGTCTATTCCTTCAGCCTGAATGTCACATCCAGTCCCAAAAGAACAATGGAAAATGGATTTTCAGATTCTTTGTATCAAAAATCTTTTAGAAGGAAAAAATTGCATTAATGTAAAATGATGCAATTAAAGTGCAATTTTGTTGCTACCTTTGAGTTGTAGTTCAGCTTATGTATTTTTTGACATTAATTTTACGTTTCTATGAAAATATGCTTTCATATGTTCACATTTCTCTGCTTCTCATTCTTTGCATACCAAAACAGGTTTGTTTTTTTTTTAACTTTTATTTATTGCAGTTCATTTTTTATGTAGTATATTTTTAAATGTTAAAGAATGACACATTTTGGGTAATTTTCCCCAGTCTTTAAAAAAAAATCAATAAGCCATTTTAGTCTCTATCTATCAAAGTTGTTTCATACTTGTCTATTTTAAAGCAGGACTGCAATACTTTAATAGGATTGAGAGAGCTATTTGAAATGTATGCCAATGATTCCTGTCATTTCATGGCAGCCCTGCCATGGTTCACTGAGCCCCCTCTTTTCTCTTGTCAGCTCAACTGAAGACAAGCATTTAGTTGCAAACTTTAAGCAGGTTGTGCAAAACAGAAATGATGTGACTGCTTCTCTTCCTGCACAATAATGTCACTGCTGGTCAATGTGAGAAGGTCAGGTTGCTTCTTGTAAAGCTACATGATACCACTTGCCTATTTGAACAAGTTGAGTTAGCTGCTGAATCTGGTCCCTGCAGGCGCTGAAAACTCCCCTTTTATCAAGTCTGCATTTCATCAGAAAGACGAACAATTGTGCAGGGAGGATTTCTGATGATATGTTTATGTACTTTATAAGGACAGTTCCCAAACCAGTGTTGCAGGTAATATATCTAGTTTAAGCTGAAAGACTTTAAAGTAATGGCTGTTTTGACCTTCAGATAGACTCCCTTTTTGTTGTTGTTGGTAGGACCCAAGAGTGACGCCCATCTTTGATGCTGACAGAATTTAAAGCAAGGCCATTGCCCTGCATTTTCTGCCTTGTAGCACACAAAAGTAAAATTGTATGTCAGGCTGAGATGTCGGGGAGCTGACAAGATGCCCCAGTGACATTTCAGCTGGAAAGAGCAAGTGTCTTGCAACCAAGTGGTCAAATATCAAATAATAGGTCAAGCAGGAAGGAGCTGAGTTCTAACCACAAAGAGGTTTCTGGTAACTTACTTGACAAGCTTTTGGGTGCTTTGTGGCTTGACAAAGTGATGTTCTGTTGGGTATCGCTAGACAGACTGTTCTTTATCGCCTTCAGAAGATCAGACATTGACATTGATTAAACTCTTTAACCCTTAAAGGTTAAATCCTAGCAGTTTCATCATTGTGAATTAAGAACAAAAGAAAATTTGTAATATACCATTTGTTTTCATATTAATCACTGAACTCCCTAGTGCTATTAACTTTTGATGTGCAATGTAGTTTTTGACAAAAAGATTGAATGCAAAATCTATAGAATAGATTGTTTCTCATTATGGCCCAGTGATACATTAGAAAAATAATATTATGCATTATGGAATTTGTAATTTCTTCTAATATGTCAAGTGTAGGATTTGATTTTAAAGCCTCCTGACTACTACTGAAATTCCATTCTGGATGAAAAACAATGCTTACATAGATAATACACCACTTAAAATGACCAAAGTCTTCCAAATACCAGGTACCATAAAAGCTAGAATAAATCTCAAACTTACAACATCTTTAATCTTTGATTAAAGTTAGCATCAAGTGTTCAGGTATTCCCCTATTGCACAAGTCGATTGCTTCACAGCCATGATGTGCATGTATGTATGTATACTACTACTACTACTAATTATAATTCTGATAATTATAGTGCTACTAATAATAATTAATACTAATAACAGAGCCATGCAAAACCAAGTAACAAATCCTGCAGAGCTCTCACATCTAAGAGCTGGCTGATAGATGAAGAACACTCCTTTTCTCTATGATGATGTATTTAGTCTTGAATACTTAAGAAAGAAGTTTCATTTCGCTCCAAAAGTCTTGGCTCTCCTCTTCCCTGACACAGACTGACTGTTCCTGGTAAAGGCACTGCAAGACTGTATTCTGCTCTTTCAAATACAATGTCGAAGATCTGTTATATTTGTCTGAAGAATGAAAGAATATGTATTAACAAGCATTTTTGTCTTTATTATGTATAGAAGCATGTATGTGCTTCACTTATTAAAGTATATTCTCATGGTATTTTATATTTTGAGAAAGAAAATGCCTGTTCTTTGCTACATGACCTCAAAATATCGCAGAAATTTTGCAGCATATCTGTCCCTTTCTCATCATTGCCATACGTTTAGTATTGTACATGCAGAGATGGAAGAAGGATTTCTTTCTGAAGCATTTTCCTTTTTGAAATCAGTATCTTATAAAGACTAGGACTGATTGGCTCCAGTTTCTCCAGTTACTGCTCCAAGCATAGGTTCATGTGATTTCACAGGGGCCGTAGCAGTGGCAAACCGAATGTAGTTAGTGAGAATAATCTAGTGAGCTATTACTTCTTACAAGAACTAGCTTATATGTTGTCATTGAAAGGGGAACATCTAACTCATTTACTCTGTTTAAATATTGAGCAACTCTGAGTTACAGACTATTTTTTTAAACTCACCCACTTTGAAGGGACTTCGAAATACCTTTTGTTTGGATATCAGATGTCCCATTTGTAAAGGAAAACTCCTCTGTCACATTATGAAGAAGTTGTTGAGTACTAAACCAGGTCATCATTAGTCAAATACTCCTGTGTTGCTTTTCTAGGCATCTGATAAATTGAAGTTTGTGATAAAATTCCAAATGAATAGAAGAAATCCAGCTGGCAAAATCTTCTGTTGATAGTTTACAAATGAACCTACCAAAGCATTTCTTTCCCTTTTTTGGGGACACAGTAAAAATCATGCTTGTGTAGAATGTGGCAACACAGTAACCTAGCTGCCAAATGAGCATCCTGACTCTTTTATATGACCTTCTCTCTCTGGCTTGCTTCAAAAATCGTTGAGCTTGAGACCTTGATCCTTACTTTTGGAGCGTTTCATGTGTTGGGCCTTGGATTTCAAGATGACTGCTTCTACTTGGATAACATCAGCTCCATCAGCAGCATGAGAAGAACCCATTTCCTTAGAAGAAAGCCTATGATTGGTGGGACTAGAATATTGTTTATGGTTTATAAATGTGGTACAATAAATAATTGGTCACAGATCTGCCTTCTGATCAGTATCAAAATTCACGTTAGATTGTCCCTGCCCATGGCAGGGGTGTTGGAACTAGATGATCTTATGGCTCTCAAAATTGCCAAACACTGCTAAAGCCCTGAATTAGGTGAAATGCAGTATTTTGTATATTTTTTTTTGTCATTTAAGCTAGTTTGATCATTTACACAAGCATCTGATCACACTGCTGTCATCCTATACGTGAAGGTTTTCCAAGGTGCTAAATTTTATATAAATCTGCATGTTCAGTGGTACAACTTAGCTCCTAAAAATTATGACTGCCTTTTGAAATATAAAGTTGCTTTAGTAGCATTTTTCTCCTGATGTCTTTTTTTTTGTTGTTTGATTATTCTCTAGTGAGCAAAACCCAAGAAGCCCTTGGCAGTATCACAGTTTAGAACAAATTTTAATATGAAGAGCATCTTCCATTGCTGGTGATGAACTCTCTCCATCCTTTTGTTGATTTGCCTTGAAATCCAGACTCACAAAATGAATCTTTTAGGACATTCTTTCCCATCTTTTCAACTTTCATCTTGCCCAGTGTGGAATAGATTTTGCCTAATTTGTATTTACTGTGGTCTTCATAATCTAATCCTTTTTGGATGATAATTTCACATAATGCTCTCTGTATGGCCCCAGAATGCACCTCAGTATTTATTTGGAAGGTATTCAAGTGTCTTCTTTCCTCTTTGCTAAATATTCACTAAACCAGTGCAATGCACAGTGATTTTACTTATATTAAAACTAAATTATTTAACCCCATAGGTGCAGTGTTTTGGGATTAAAACTGGTATAATTACATTCTCTGATAGGTTCTTTATCTCTACTGTGTCTTCGATTTTACAAATGTGGCCTTGGCTTTCAATTAGGTCTCTGCAAATTGTCCTTCAATATCAGTGGATGATGGAAGGTGACATGCTCTTTGTCATGCTAACGTGGATCTGATCACTGTCATGGGGGGCATCATGGAGTGATTTCATGCAGTTTATATAATTTTATGTTCAATGCTAATGTTAGAAAAAAAAGATTCTAACTTTATGAACCAGTCATTCAGCAATGCGCATGAAACTGAATCTTTGCCGTTTCTGGTGTCCAGTGACTGATGAATAAAATTGAACAAGGACAGAGCAAAATATGAGGAAATGTCTGAAAACAAAATTGTTTCCAAGGAACGGTCAGGAGGAGGTAGGGAGATCCACTGAATAATTTTTCTTCGTTTTTTTATTTAACACTTCTACTTCACCATGCTTCCTGTCTCTTAATAACCTAATAGTACTAATAATCATTACTGATATTAGGTTGCCTTCTCGTGGCTCTGCTGTGCCTGATAAAAGCTAAAGAATTTGTTGGATTTTGCTTTGACTTATGCAATGGAAGTCACTTATTAAAAAATTAAGAGCATTGGATTTACTTTAAGCACTAAGTATTGTGAGCATTACTGTGTGAATATGCTTTATTTTTCATTGTAAACATTTTTTAATCTTCCACTGCATAATGGTAATAGGGATATTATTCAAAATGAAAGCAACAATGCTAATTATATTTAGTACATAAATATATTTACATTCCTTTTTGCTTAATACACAGCTAAGCCTTGTAGCAGCCCCACAAACTGTTGTCTTGTAGATGTTTGAATGGTTTAATTCACAGGAGTGGTGTAGTCGTAAAAGTCATGGCAACAAGCATCATAGACTTTGTACTTGTGAACAGTAGTCTGTTAAGTGAAGTGTGTACATTTTACACTTTACATGGAAAATGCCGTTAGGTGTAAGAATCTGTCACATGTACCTAGCTGTACAAGGCTAAATGATGACAACTTTTTTCTGAATCAGGCAAGAGTTTCAGTAACTTTCAGTGTACGCTGTGTTGATTTGGCATCCCATCATGCCTTCATGCATAAAGGCTTTCTAACACACGGGATTCTGCTGGCATACATGGGGAGAGACCCAAAGCTATACTCCATCCTGTGACATTCGGACAGCAATTGAGATTTTTACTGCATAAAAAAATTTAATTTCCAAATCTTCAGGTAACAAGGTAATTATAAAAAAAAAAAAAGGCAAAAAAACAAGGGAATTAGAAATCAAATATAAAATCCTTTTCTACCTCTATGTCATGTAAAGGTTAATAAAATTTGTTCCTGTAAACAATAGCATTGGAGAAATCTTAGTTGCAATATATTTGCAGTAGAAGATAAATCCTGCTTTCAGACTTCATTCTCAATTGGCTTACTGATACAAGTTTATGTCAGACACTTGGCATGGGAAGCTGTATATAGTAAAGCACTGACCTTAACAAGAATCTTGCAGCTAAAATCCTGCACAGTTCTTTTAAAATGTCAGGCATTAATGTTATTTAAATGCAGTATTTGGTGGTTTGATTGAGTCATGCTTCATTGTCTTTTACTGCACATTAATGCCAGTGAAACACTGATTGTTGACAGAAAGTTCTCTTCGGTAAAGTATACACTGACATATCGTGCTGGTATAGAAAAATAGTGTGCAAGACGGAGTAGTCATACTCTGCTGGAGTAGGAATCCTAAACTGTCTAAATGGTGGTAACATTAATTATACACTGACAGGAAATGTGAACTACGTTTTCTTTTTTTCTTGTATATGTTTTTCAGACTGCCTCTTGAGAGGACTGATAAGACCAACTTGTGGGGTCCTTAGATAAATAAATATCAGTATTTTTTTTTGTGTGGGGTGTGTCATGCAAGTTGGCTATTAATGTACCTTGAAAAGTACAAAGCCAACTCTAGAAGGAAGATTTGTTATAGGAGCACCTCTCGTAGCTTATATAAGCTTGCCTTAGGACACACCAATGGCTTTTCATCTTGTCTAAGTTTGGAAAAAATGACTTTATGTTCTTTCTCTGAATACTTCTCAGTGTTACGTCTCTATCTCAGTCTAAAACCCTCAAGGGGAAATGAGGATGGCTTGACGAGATGTAGAAAATACTGTAAATTTTGAATTCAAACAAACAAAAGCTTTGAAGTTGAATGTGGGAAGCAATAAACACCGGTGAGCTTATAAGAGCTTGTCTGCACAGTGGGTGGGGTATATTCCATATTGTACTTTTTCAGTGTAGAGTAACTATTCCAAAATAACTGCCCTCATATGGACAGCTATTAAATACCTTCTTATTTTGGCTGAAGTAGTCTGTGTGTTGTTTGTCTAGTCCCATAGGGCTTTTTTATACTTTTGGGCTCTGTGCTGTCCAGGACTTTTCTCATGACTGCAGGATGCTTTCTGGAAGTCATTAGAATTCTGTGTCTTGGAAATGAATTTGCAAATGCTCATGAGTTACAACTTTTTTTTTCTTTTTTTTCTTTTTTTTTTAAGACAGTGTCATTTTTCAAGTTGATGTCAGCCAGCCTGGTTGAAGCCTGCAACAGCAAATGAACCTAGCTTATGTGAAACTTCTGATGCTTTCTGTGAACTTCGTCATTCTTATCCTTAGTAGGTGGCACTGGGACATCACATTTGGGTTCCTAAGATATCATGGAAGTGTTTGGAAGGAGATTAACTACTTTGCAGTAGGAATTACTGGTGAAGTTTGCAGATGTTTTCTTCCAAGATATACATGGAGCCCTTGCATACTACAGAGAGCAGTGTAGTTCAGCAGGCAAGGCCTGTAGAGTTCTGACCTGTGGTAACTCAATTTTCATGTCTGCCACTGTGTCAAGTGCAAAACCCGAATCCCTCCTGCTTCTAGAAACTTACAACTGTTCTGCAAAGAGCACTGAGCAATACAAAAGGGTAAAACCATAAGGAAACTTGCAGGAACCTGCTGTAGCTCAGTCTAATTGTCCGTGCAATGTGTTTGTATATGAGCATTTGAGTTGGATGTTGGTTTTTGCACATATTAATGCTATATTTTATTTAATGTATTCATTAGCACTGTGGTGTGTGTGCTGTTACACATATTGTGCGCGTTGTGTTGTACTCCTCTTTTTACCCTGAAGCACTTACAACAATCAGGTAGAGCAAACTGTTGCTTGGTAAACTCTTGAGCTTCTGTTACAGCAGATGGTGTTAAATTATTAGCAAGAGAAGGCGGGAAACTTGATTATCAGTAAATTGAGGAAAATTTATTGTCTGGCATTATAAATAAATCCCCCTGTAAAGAGGTTTAATCACAATCTTAGGCTAACTGCAAAGCAGTACTAGTCACTTGGTCAACACTTCCAAGAATGCATATAAAACTGATCAATTAGGAAAACTGTGCTAATATTTTCCTATTGGACATCCTAATTTAGGAAAATAATATCTAGAAGGGGAGAACAGCTAGAAGCAACTTTAATTGTGAAGGATCTGAAAGAAAAGACCTGGGAATCTCTGCATAGCTTAAGAGGACGCCAGGTAACTTGTAGCCTTGTTCAGTAGCAAAATACTCCATTTATTTCTGTAGAAGGTATGTATGATTTTGGCAATAAATTAGGATTCACACACCAAATGCTGGCTGTGGCTTCCTATAACAAAAAGAGCAAGAAAGCCTTTATCTGTCATGTCAGCTGCTACTGAAAAGACCCTCAAGAAAATATAAAGAATCAAACAAAAAGCTTACCCTTCAAGATGGAATTCTTTTGTGTAGGAGCATTATTATAATTTCTCCTAAGTATGAATGTTTACCCATTTTTCTCCAGTACTTTTCAAAACCTGTTCACTCTTAGATGAAAAATGTTATCTATCTGCAAAATCCATTAATTGTCATATCTACTGTATTAATGTCCTGCAGTCTGTGAATGACTTACTGAAAATGCAAATTTCATCCAGTGTGACACACTTACCTTTACAACTGTAACTACATCAGAAGTCTTCTTTAAGTGTTTGTGGAATAGTTGTTTGTTTTATGGGTTTGTACCTATATGATTGGCTGATCACTGCACAGGGTCACGTGGGGAAGTCAATGGATGTGACTACTGGGATATTGGATTTGCTAGAATTTCAGACAAATTGCTTAAAACCTAACAGAGAACACCCTGA